CAATCCTGTCGTACAATTTAAGCCCTAAACTCGTTTTAGGACTCCGAGGTAGTCGTTTGTCATGACTTAAATCCTTACATCTTCAAGATTATTTGTGCTGATTGCTTCACACAAATGTAAATCCTAATAAATAAAAAAAATTGCAGGATGAAACATCTAAATGATTTCTCTTAAATTGAAGCCAAATAATAGGATAGCTTGGGAAGTCACCAAAGTTCTCCTTCGGCTCTGTGTCATCCTCTAGTTTTTCCTCATTTGGACCCCAAAACAAAACGTTCCAAATTTGAATCAATCCCCTTTACACTTCTTAGTCTGATATCTTTAAAATATCCTTACCAATTGAACTCTTTGAAGATATTCTTTTTCTTGGTTTTATCGAGAGTATTCTTAGGTAACTTTTGTTACCTAAGATGTAAATTAATTATAGGGGCTTGCCCCTATAGGAAGCTTTTCCCGAACCCAGCATAATATAAACCTTATTTAATTCCTTATATTAAATTGAGGAATTTGTCGGTCAATACATTTTTGTCGGTCAATACATTACAATACATTAGTTTCACAGACCAAACAGATGTCATAACTTTTTTTAGTTTATTTGATCGAGCCTCACCCTCAATTCTTGTGTTCATCATTCGGGATAGATACAAGATTTGAGGTAAAGCGCTCTTTTCATCTAAAGTATGAAAATTATGGGGTCAGTTTGACTTCATCTTTTTTCAAAACCCAACTTTTTCAACGTTCTTCCGAAGCGGGCAACGGAATTTCAACTTCGATGACCGACAGCTTTTTACGGGCAAACCCCACACCAAAAATAGTGCCGACAATAGTCTCCCTACTTGAGTAATTGACATCATTATTAGTTTTCATAACAAAAAAATTATCCACCAGATAGAGGTTTCCATCTTTATACTAGATCTATTGTTGAGATATTGTTCGCTTCGGTCCTATGCCTCATGGTTTTGTCTCATTAGTGCAACTTCACAGGAGGTCACTTATCTCAGGAGTGTTCCCGCACGAGTACATTCAAATTTGGAGATTTTTATGAAATTTCAACAATTGCACCAAAATGCGTCTTGGCGTTTGAGAGTTTAATTTCATTATACTTAAGATATTTCATAATTTCCTCCACACAAGTAAATAACGCCACCGTCAGTTTTCATAACCTATAATTATCTACCAAGTATATATTCTTATATTCAAACTAGTCTAATGCTTTGATATCATTTGTAATAACTCAAACTTTCATCAATGAAAATATTGTCCACTTTAACTTAACTGCTTCACGATGTTATCCCATCGGCGTAACTTTTGAGGGTCACCCATCTGAAGAGTGCTTATTCACAAAAACACTTACCATTGAAGTTTTAGATGAAATTTCAACTATTACACCAAAGAACAACTAAAGTAAAGGGCTAAACCCTAAAGAGTAACATCCAGACATGATAAAGTCTTATATTCAATGTTAAATATTCAACTTAACATCCGGGCATGACAAAATCTTATATTCAATGTAACCTTTATTTTTGTCTTATATAAAAACAACTACAGTATGATAAAGTCTTATATTCCCATCTTTATGTCGTAACAATGGACTCCTAAAATGTCATCGGGGACATCTTTGGACTAAAGCAGATCAACCATTATCGTGTGATGAGGTGTTTCGATGGGAAAAAAATTACGTACGATAGATGTACGCAGCGCTACGTACGATTTAGAGGTTATGTCGAGGGTATAAGGGGGTTATATCCACGACATAACCCCTTGTAACCTTCATATAACATTCTGTAACTTACTTGTAACCTACTAATAAATTCTTAATATATGATAACAGAAACGCGAAACTTATTTGTAGGTTACAAGTAGGTTACACAGGGTTACATGGATGTTACAAGGGGTTATACCACAAATATAATTCCCTTATACCCTCGGTATAACCTCCCTTATACCCTCGGTATAACCTCAAAATCGTACGCAGCGCTGCGTACGTCTATCGTACGTAATTTTTTTCCGTTTCGATGCATCACCCAATCTTTCATTCATCCAACACTGGTTGATACAACACTCTTCTTGTATTCTATGACACTTTGTTAATGTCATCAACCTTCAATATCTTCAACAACTACACAAAGGTACACAATTTATATTAATTAGTTTAAAATAAAATATTTTCTTATATACACATATATACATTGATGGGTTAAATGTGATATCTTAATATCAAACCCAGACAATTTAAAAGATACATAATTTATATTAATCACTTTAAGATAAAATATTTTCTTATATATATATACATTGATGAGATTTGTTAGGAAGATATCACATTTATATAAAAATTTGCATGATATGAAAGAAATATTTTTGGGGCATTTGCATGCTATCACATAATTCTTATATATTTACATATCTACTACTTGAATTTACATATTTATACATATAACTTAAATATTTAACACCCTTAAAAATATTCTTATTATTTGTTTTTAAAAACTAAAATACATATTTTCATTCTAAAATTTATAAATATAAGTATAATGATTGCTTGTTTCCGAATTAAATTCCATCGATCTCGGCGTCCTTTGTAGTTCGATCTGAAAAACCCTGAAAACATGGCGCTTGTGGTGATCTGCGGGCAGCCTTGCAGCGGTAAGTCGACGGCTGCACGTTGCCTGGTGGCCGCTCTGGAGGCCGTGGAGCCAAAGCCAACTGTAAGAATCATTGACGAGTCCTCCCTACATCTCGGGCGAAATCAGAGCTATGCAGGTGATTCCTCCACGCCCCCTTCCTGTTGCCTCTACTTCTGTTGAAGAAGCTATGGTCCATAAACCCTAAAAGACAGTTTGGCTACAAGATTTAGCTAGTCTTTTTGCTAAATACAGCCAGAAATATCACTACTTTTTAAATCCCATCGCCATGTTTTTCCATAGCCGTTAGCAAACCATGGGAAGTAAGATTTAGGAGATTTGCTCTATTTTTTCTCACAGTGAAATATTACCAATCAATCTGCTAGGTTCCACAACCGCATTGTTTTCAGAATTGAAGGCCACTTGATTTTACTACATTTGGATTTGCAAGCTTTAATAAATCCCACGTGCTGCCACCCCTACCCCTAGTTATAGTTATGAGCCTGCTTTATGAATCCCAAGACTCTTTTATCATGTGTAAGATATTGATTGCATCTCAAACAACATGTGTAGAGATCATAATGAAAATAGAAGACGGAGGGTTACAATGAGCAAATGATTAACCCAATATAATGACATTTTTAGCCCTGAATGATTTAGGTTTTTGTGAAAAAAGGTTATTTGATGATAATGGGCATCATTAAAGGCCTTTTGTGTGTGATTATTTAAATTGATGTGATTAAACATAAGTATGTAATTCTTATGTAAAGCAATTAACTTGAAAGCACCTTGAATGGAAATAGATTATCTATTTCCGGTGAGAGAAATTAGTTATTTGATTTTTTACAAGGATAGAAGCAGAATGGAGCTTACATTTAACAGTTATTGCCCATAGTGGTCTCACAATGATTAGTTTTTGGTGGTATGAGGGTTGATCATGAAAAAAAATTTGTGAATTATGTAGGAAATATTCCTTATGTTGTAGATGTTAATAATTTTATTTGTCGACATATTTTCTTGAAGTTTGAATTCAAAGTTAGGAATTTGGAAAATTCCTACGAAATTTCTCATGGATATGGTTCCTTGTGTACTATTTGCAGCAGAAACAACAGCTCTATGAGAATATGTAAATCAAGATATCATTAATTCAAGCTGAAAACAAAAAAGATCTATAAGTAAAAGTTCAAGGTTTAAATATTGCAAAACAAAAAAAAAGGCAAGCTCTATTTAAATTAAGCATTCTAAGAAAATCTAACCTGTTAGATTTGTTAAGCTTGATATGTTTTATATTTTGACAAATGAAGCACACTTAAGTTACTGAGGAACTTTATTGACGAGAGAGAATTTCTTTAATTTAACCAATTCAAGGACTCAAATTTGAGGAAGCCAATGAATTTACCCAGCTGCGAAATATTGACACTGCGAGGAGCACGAGATCACAAGCATGAATACAATTTGACATGGACTTTAGCAATTTTATGCAGTGTAGGATACCACTGTATAAGTTGAAAGTTAATATATCTCTAGATTATGCAATTCTCATGGAATTATGTCTAGGCAATAAAAATTAATGGCATACTTAAAAATAGTTGGCATTGTTTCATTTCATGGTTTATCAACTAGTCCTTTTGGTTTTAGTTTGTGTTTGAGATTAAAGTCAAACATGACTCATTAAGTTTGATTCAAGCAAAAATTTGATCCAATTTCAATCAATTTCGAAAGATAATTTTCATAAACTTCTTGAATTGTTAATGGCGATTCCTAAAATGAAGTTGGGGTTTCAATATTAAGTGACGTGGAGAGATGCTACGGAAGTTAATGGAAGCTGTATAGAAATGGAGAAAGTAGTAATGAAGAAAAAGAAGAACCAGATGCATAACTTAAGAGGAAAAAGCATGCCGAGCATCACGATCATTTTAATAATCACAATTTTTAATTAATGACACTTGAACTTCTGTATGCTATAGAAGATTCTACATAAGTAGACAATATGCTTAAACTTTTCTTAAAATATTTAATGATATTATCGCCCACGATAATTAAAATTAGGCACTTGAAATAATCATAAACTAAAAAAAATAATTTAGATAATGACACAAAAAAGTATTAAGATATAATCCCTTTTTTTATATATCATTTAGCCTTAGGATGCAAACTCTAATTGTTTTAGCATGTAGGAAAACTTATTTTGGGCGATGTCATGATATTGGTGGTGGTTATGGCTTTGTTCATGTTGCGGTTAAACTCTTTAGTTCTGTTATGTATTCATTTTCAGGCTTAGAGTATAAGCCTAAATTTCATTTTTTACTTAACTTATTATTTGTTAGTTAATATATTTTAACACACTTACCTTTATTTAGATATGACAACAGAGAAGAATTTAAGGGGAGTTCTAAGATCAGAAGTTGATAGATCCTTGTCAAAAGATAATATTATCGTTGTGGACTCCTTGAATAACATTAAGGTGGGCATTTTCTTTGCATTTGTTGTTTTATTTTTCATACAATACAACAATCATTAAATTAAGCTATGCTTTATTGCAATAATCTCTTGATTAGTATATTGACATTCAAAGCTATGTAATCTAAATCCTATTTAAGAATTATCCTTTTTATGCCCACTTTCTATGGTATTATTATTTGGAATGCACACAGCAAAATTATTGAACTACTAAAACCTTCTTTGTGATAAGAATAAACTTTTACAACATAAAATGAAATTATATAAAAGCAATGAATATTTCTTATAGTTTATCACTGATACTAGCTGTGGAGGTTCGTAACTTGCTCTATATTTAATTTTTAAGGTACTACGTTGATGTAATGATTTTTGTTTTTTTTTAAATTGGTTTTAAGATACAATCTATTTATTTTTTGAAAGCATATGTGGTGCGAAGTGTGAGCTGCACTTTGCATCCTCTTCATGTTCAACAAATTGCCAAAGATTGCGCTTTGCTCAATTAACTGCTGAAGCGGTCGTGTGTAGCACTGCAAACTAATGCATTTCATTTTGGCAGTGTTGATTCATTTGATATTATAAAATCACTCATTTTCGTTTTCCTTACATTCACATATTATCGATTTTTCCCTAAAATATAGAATAGCTGCAGCTTGATCTTGCCTTTCGTACATTTACTTTCCTATTTCAAGCATCGCATTTTTTCAAGTTTGTATTAGTTTTAAGTCATCTAATAAATATTGTATGTTTTTTAACTATTAATGAATGTATAATATAATTATAAATTTATACAACTTATGAGCATTTTATATGGTAAAAACTCCACTTTACTCCACATTTTATGCTTTGAAGCAAAAATGAACTCTTGCTTATCTTACTTTGTTAATGTCTTGAAGATATTGATTATAGTAGAGCACAACTAACGAGGTTTAGCCTCAGATTCCTTTTTAATCTATTACAAAAGTATCTATATATAGAAAAAAGGAGAATGCACCCCCTATGGTGCATAAATTCAGTTGGAGCTTGAGCTATAAATCATGGTCCGACCACATTTCAACTCTTAACAATCTCTTTAGCTTGATGGTGCAGATCTTTTGATGGAAATTTAACTTGAATCAAGTTGCATTGTAAAACGTCTAATAAATAAATTTTGATTTAATGTGATTTTTTTTGGTTTAAATATTTTCTTACTCCCCGTTCGACTATATGTTTTCTAAGTCAAACTTGATTGATGAGTTGGGAACGAGTCACCTAATAATTTTTAGAGCATAATTATATGTATATTGAAAACAAAGCTGAGAAACATTATAAAAGTTCAATGAAAAAGAAAACTTCTGGAAAAAAGGGTAACATACTTATAAAATAATAAGGAAATTGGAACAAAGAGAATATGAAAATAAAAAATTTTTAAAAAATTCCAAGAGCATGTTTATTTTCATGGACCTTCTTAGGATTGTTGAAGCATGTGTCTCCAGATTTTTGATCGCTTGAAAATCTTGTGAACTTCAAATTTTAGAAAATATAAAAAATTTAGTATAAATAAAGAGGAAAAATGGTAAGCTCAATTTTTCACACACAAAGGGAGGAGTTGATATAGCTTGCATTCCAAATGCTGGCTAAATCACAAGAATAATTACAAATCATCTCCCCCTGGTTGAACTAACTTTTTTTATATTAGTTTGAATATTGGCGGTTCAATTGGGTATTTCACCAATATGTTTGACAATGCATTTATATTAGGTGTTCTTGCCTCCCTCCCTTTAGACAAACTCGCAAGTCCTAACTTCTGGACTCTTCATTATCAAAGTTTTAGGGTGCACCTCAATATTCGATTCTCTACACATGGAGTAGGGTTGATAAGGTCTACAGGCTGACGACTAACTAATGCCAGATCTCAATAGGGATATGTTGATAATTGTCCGATCCTATACATGCAAAGGGTAGAGTTGGTAGGGATAAGCCAATAATTGTCTATGGTTACATATAACGAGTAGAGTTAATGAGGACTATAAACTAAAGATAACTCGAGGCCCGATCTCTTAAATGCAAAGGGTAGAGTTGATGGGACCCATTGCTTGACAACTTCTATAACTTTGATCCTTTGTACAAATGTGACACTATGGCATAGTTGACAAAGCGGAAAAAAAATCCAGAAGAAGCTATGCAAGTAAGGCTCTCAAATTGACTTCAAGGGACGAGGCAAATATTGAAGATCGTGACATGTGAAGCATGATACATTAAAAAAAAAAGAAATTAAAATAAAGATTCATGCCACTAGTGCATGCATTCATCTTCTTGATTTACATGCCAATATGTTCACATTTCAAGACCAAATGAAGACAATCAAGGTTAGCCCTCCTTTTTATATTTTTCAAATATATTGCACACAAATTAAATTTCATCTACTCATCAATTTGACATCATCAAGTCAAGAAAAGTCTGCGGAGGTTTGAAATAGTGACTGTATGTTATAATCGAAGAGGTTATTAAAATCATTGATGTTCCCCTTTACAGTCAAGCAAGACGATGAAGACTCCTTGACCCTAATGACACACAAGGTTATTAGAGGATCATAATCGGAGAGGTCGACATTCAAACGAACATTACATGTTAAGATGCAAAATTTTTCCTAGCCAATCTTGTGGTCAAAGAATTTCAAAAAAATCAGGCAAGATGCATTCTAAAATTCATAATGCCTCGAAATCTTTAGTTGAAAAAATGAATGGATGGCCGGTGGGATTATAATGGTTGGCATTTCAAAGGCACTGATCGTCATTTTGCTAATTAGCCAAAAATAGCTATGCAAGGTAGGCTCCTACTCAACATGCTTAATGGCTAAGCTGGTGTTCTAAAACTCCAACTAGACATGCTTTAATAGGGCAACTTGACAAGCTTCAACTCAATTTGGGGTTTGATTATTAACATATATTGGATGAAGTGGTTTGTTGGCCAAATCATTAAAGTTCTTGACCATGTGATATTAACTTTCAGAAGTCCTCCCCTATAATCGGTACAGTTATACCTAATCATAATCAAATGGAATTTTTGTTAAAACAACATTCATTTGTACTCCAAAGATAAGAACTTATTTCAAGCTCTTTTCATGATAATGAGCATAATGAAATAGAAATCACAACAAAAAAAAATTTAATTCAATTCAAAGCATCCCCTACATACCCTATATAAAAGTTGACGAGGTCAAAATAATTAGATAAAGGAATGATAAGCCATTTTATGCTCATAGCAGTTAATTATCCATTGTTCATTACGGCTTGATAAAAATGACAAATTGGAGTTTGACCAAAGCTCATTAAGAGCAAATGTTATATAAATATATTTATATGATTATAGTAAACTATCATCTGTTAGTAAGGATGTGACATATGCCTTTTGACTAGGTGGATTATTTGATTGCGATTACACTATTATATTTTGGGTACACCCTAATCCTGAATATTCTCTATGACTAAGCATATTAGGTTTGAGTCATAATACACATTTAATAGGATATGCAACCCTTTATTAAAAATTGGCCCATTTAGCAAAATTTCTTCCAACTCTAGAAGTTTCATTTGAATAATTCAAAATATGATTGTTGATAAAAAATTGTTAGACTTGATCGTGACAATATCTACTGACTAAATAAAACATGGATAATGATGACCTTAGATGACCAAATCATGGGATATAAATTAAGGTTGGCATTTTCCTCTCATTATACCCTTTGAGCTGACGATAATATAGTTTTTTATCTAATCTAAACCGGCGTTACTAAAACAAAATATTGTAAATTCGTCTAATTAGATCACACTCAAATGGGGTGATTAATCATAGGAATTGCACTCATAGAAAAACTTAAATCAGGTCATAAAGTCTTTGTTAGAAGATAAAATCTCCGTGTAGCGTTTTATTTTATATCTAATATGCCATATGAAAATATGAATATGATGAAGCTAGGCAGGGTTTTTTAGAGTTCCCATCTTGATTACTTGAGTTTCATTCATTGCAGCATTTAGTTATATTATAATCTTAGACTCTTAAGATATTTTGCATCAAATTTATATCAAAGCTTAAGCGTGCATCATCATGTCAACTAGTAGTAAGTCATAACAATAAAAATAATCACATGATGCATTTTAAATATAATCAAATATGTTATGATTCTAGACATTTATAATGTGATTGCCATGAGGTTTAAAGTAATTTTTTTAAATTCAATGGAAGATATAATTAAAGAGATTTTCAAATTGGATTGTTTAATTTGAATTTTTTATTTGAAAGTTTGATTTCTAGACTATTAGAGTTGCTAAAATGAAAGTAGTGAGATATATTCAATTATTCTGTTGAAATATTTTTTTTTAAAATTTATATGGCACAATAAAAAACATAATCTGAAAGTGGAATTTTTGTCAATCATTTATTATAGGTATCAATTTAAAGATCATAAACAAAATAATTTTGGTGTGTTTAATTATTATACAAAGTTTGTCTTGTAGTAAAATAGTTTTTACCTCTAAATTGTTTTGTTATCATTATATATTTTTTTAAAGATATTAAGTGAAAAATTAAAGATTAATTAAATTATATTCAGCAAATTTATTTCATGTTGTTTAGGGCTATTATGCTATTAGTTAACCTTTTCAAAGAAAAAGTTTTAGCTTGTCTTCAACCTACACCAACACACGAATCATGCATAATAACTCGTATCGGAGAAACAATAGTTTATGAATATTTTTGATAAGTCAATGATTGGAAGGATTCAAATCAACTGAAGCAGGTATGAATTCTGTGAGGTGTATAATCGTTAGCTTTTAGTTTAATAAAATTTTAGATTTCTTTTGTTGGATTCCGAGTTTTTCAAATGTGGTGCAAGTGCGAGTATTAATTTTTGGGAAGCCATCGTTTTTTTTTCACTGGTCTTTTTGACTATTTGTGTTGAGCCATTTAATCTTGAACTATTTAAAATGCATAATTTAGGCTATAGACTCTTTAAAAATAGATCAAAGCAGTCTAATGAAAATTGAAGTTGGTGGTGTTAAAAATGAGGCCGTTTTAGTAGAACATATTTTCTTCTTAAAATATTTGGTAAATCTAGTTTTTTTATTTATTTAATTTCCTCATGATGGTGGGAGCAGATTGAGAGCATGTTGGTTACGAAAATGAGTTGATTTTTAATAATAAATAATTTTATTTGATATTTTATTATCTTAATTCTACTATAATAAGAAAACAAATTCATTGTTTTTCTATATAATAGAACCAAAATTAAAATAAAGTAAAATATTATTTATTACAAGAAATCAATTGAATTTGCAACTGCATGGTCTCAATTCATTTTTATTATATGCAAATTTAGATGTTGTTTATGAGAATATATGATAAGTAGGAAATTAAATTTATTAAAATATTTTAGAAGATTTTGTTTTGAAAGAATTTTTTTTGAAGCACCATTAACTTTAGTTTCAATTAGTTTAAATGATAGGTCTATTTTGATCATTGTTTAACGAGCCTTTGAGCATTTTGCACGGTCTAGAAATAATACGGCCCCTCACAAATAGTTACGGACCATTTTGATCCTTTTCTCCATATATCTATATTGATATGAGGCATGAATTTTTTGTGTTGATGATCTCTTATTGTGCTCTCTTTAATCTATAAAATTCATTGTTGATTTTTCTAGTTCGATCGATTTTAGTTAAAACAATTATAAACTATTTTCTTGTTATAGTTTGAATCCCGATCAATTGTATTTTTTAATTTAAAAAAATTCATTGAATTTCTTTTTTTTTACGATGCTTTTTTCTTTACTATCAAAGCGTGACTTTACCTTTTTCCCAAATCCTTTATGTAATGAAAATTTCCTTTTTTATTCATATAAATTTTGTGGAAAAGGTAGTTTCTAGTCGGTTTTCTTATTTTTTTTTATTGATTTCTGTGTTAATTGTTTCTACAATGAAAAACTATTGGCAACCATTAGAGGGTTGTCTCTCTCTATATTTTTTACATTATCTTTTGTTTTGTCCAATGTGCAGGGTTATAGATATGAACTGTGGTGCCTTGCTAGAGCTGCTGGAATAAGATATTGTGTGGTAATTAGCCATATTATCTTTTGAATGAAATGTTGTGTTTTTACCAGAACTTTATGTTCCGGGTGATGCACTTTTATTAGATGTATTTGTATAACTTAAGCGAGTTAATATACCTAACAAATATTATCAGTGATATTCATGGTTGAGAATGCTTGGTTCCAACTCGTAATTGGTAGGTAAACCTACATGCCGACATGTCTAATGATAGTTTTTGTTGTCTTCCCTTATCCTACATACCTCTTCGAATGCATACTTTAATTCTTATTGAGAAAGCTTTGGCAGACACAAGCAATACCCAAATTGGAATTACCATCAATTAATGGCGATTAATTCACTGATTAAAGTGATATTTCATTAATAAATTCAATTTGAAATTCTCAACAAAGTATTCAAATTAAGAAACTCATGCCTAATTAGCCTATCCCATCTTTTATTAATCTTCATGAATTCCTCAAAGTATAATGAAAATCACTGGTTGAGATTCTTATGAATGACAAAAGGGGTTCTAACTTGAGCGATAGCAGTTTGTTTATTGGTTTAGAGTATAGTGATCACAAGTTCTAGTTCAGCTAATGACTTCCTTTAAACAAATTGTTCTCTTGCTCCTTTGGGTAGCTCCTTGCCGGGTATTTGATTTTTAATGACCCTGTGTTCTATGTTTAATTAGTAAAAAAAGGGATAGTTTTCTATCCTTCTAAAAACGGAAGATTTGCTATTTTTATGAGATAGAAGAACAAAATTTTTGAATTAAGGGGAAAAAATCTTTTTTTTTTATTATATGAAATATCAGTTACACCATTCTAAGGTTTCTAGATGCTGTTTAAGAGGTGGATCTAGCGGGGAGGTGGTCATGGAATAGCAAGTGAACAATAATATTCAAGGTCGATGGTGTTTGGAGTAGATAAGAGGTGTTCAACGGTTGTCTGGAATGAAAACAGTGTGAGAAGCACAAAATGCCGGCTTCGACGAGACACAATTGCTGAGGGAGCTACAGACACACTAATTGTAAAAATAAGATGATACAACACTCCTTAGAGAAGAAAATCAGAGAATAAAATTTCCAAATGCACAAATCCAAAGCAAAAGTCTTCAAAACTAGAAAATAACAACTCATAAAAAGTTTTCAAGCAAAAGTAACCTTTATTCTAATTAAAATAATATTAAATAGGGGCACATGACCGAACAAAACCCTGGCAAGCGGTAGAAATTCAGCTGGGTGCGACAGAGCCTGCCTCGCTTTGGTCCCGTGATCACGACAGAGCCTGCCTCGCTTTGGTCCCGTGATCACGGTAACTCCCACGTCAGTCAAGAACACGATCATATGATCAATAAGATGATATCTTGAGAAAAAACAGACTCTTTTCTTTGCTAAATAACTTTTTCCTTTGTTAGTTTGATGTTGTCGACCGTTGAACTCTTGGAAAAGGCTGAGCTATTTCAAATGCTAGTTCATTTTCCCGGTCTCGTCTTTTCTCACATGCTGAGCTTATCATTTTCTTTTATGTTTTCGTATTTTCTCATAAAGAAAATGCTTGCATCGTAATTTGCTGAATGTAAGAAGAGGCTTTGCAATTTTTACTAGAACGTTACTTAATATCAGGATAATGAATGAGAAGCTACAATTTGCTTCAATATGCATTTATGCAATAACGAGTGTTATAGGATCATGAAGGTTGTATAGATAAGAAATTGTTGTTTTTTGATGGATTATGAAGCTGAAGTGTTATTACTAGGTTCAGGAAATGGATATGTTCATGAATACAAGTTCTATGAAGGATTTAGAATAGGTGGGAGTTTAGTGATAATTGTCATTGTATGATTTGCCTTGTGCTGAATATGAACTATTTGATTTATAGCATCCAGTAAAAAAGTTCAATTTTTATGTTTATGAGTAAATTAGATTTGTATTTCTTTCTTTTTTCTTTCTAGCTTGTTCTTCCTACTTGAACCTAGCTAAAATTTTCTTTTGATTCTTTTTTAAATAATTACGTCGGGGTGGCTGGAATTGATGTTGATAGAATAATGAGTAGAAGTGGTATACAACAAGTAGCATGGCCAGAAAGTTATGCATTGAGATTTAATTGGGTCTATGATGTTTACTTCAGCTATAATTTAGAGGAAAAAATATAGCTTTTTTATTGTAGCCGAGAAGCTTTTTTTTTTTTAAATTTATTGAAAAGCAAGATAAATTAAAAAAAAACATGCATTTTTTTAGAAAAGCGTAAGAGCACTTAATTTGTAAAGTATGCAGTGCTTTCGTTACTAATATCTATGTCTACGTGATTTTGTTGTAAGCTTTTGTTCCAAGTATCAGGACCTTATTTAGAACCATTTTGTTTAAGATTTGAGTCTTATTGATAGTTCAAAGAATTTGGGCTGTTTTTGTTCATCAACGTAGTCTGACCCTGGATGGCTTAATGAATCCTCACTCTTCTTTCCTTATTGTAGACTGCATGCGAGTTATTTAAATTTTTGTAAAGCCTTCAGCACAATTTCTAACCATGCTGCATTTGGTCTACCCCATTTTCTTAATTTTTAAATATGAATTCCATTTGCACATTTTGTTTATTAAATTTTTCTCCATTTTTATATGCCCAACTCATATTAGTTTATATTTCATTATTGTATCTTTATAGATGTTACTCCTATACCTTAGGGTGTAAGTGAGCCGCGAGCCAGCTCAAGCTCGATTCGTTAATGTGCTTGTCAAGCCATTAGCTCGAGCTCGAGCTTAAACTAAAGTTGGTTTATTAAATGAGCTTGAGCTTGTCTGCACTCAACTCGTTGGGTTGCAAGCCTAATCCCGATCATGTCGATGTCATCGGTGAGTTTCCTGTTGTTAGTGCCGTCAGCCGAGCTCGAGCTTGAGCTTATATTTTGATAAGCAAGCCAAGCTCCAGTTTGACATAACTCGGCTAGGATCGACTCATACAATGCGTTTGGGGCGGCGGTGTGATGACATTGCGGTATCACACCACAAATTTTTTTTTATTTGGCAAAATAGTGTTTTGCCGGTTTTTTCAAAAAACTGTAGTTGAAAGTTGTGTTTTGCTATCGGACCTGACTAAATGCAGTGATTACTAGAAAGCTGTGGCCTAACTTTTTCAATTTTTTTTTTTTTGTAATAACCACCGCAACTTTTTGAACTACTTCTTCTTTTGTAACAACTTTATAGCTGCTTCTTCAAACAGCTGCAGCTACCCCAAATAGACCCTTACAACCCTATCTATACCCATACTATTATGATTTACTAATCCTGCCATCTTACATTTGACTCGTATCTATTGTAATATTCTCATTTCCACCACATTTGAAATATGCAGCTATCCTACATCCCAACACTCATATTCATATTAAAATTGTCGGCTTTTTATTTTAATTTCCCAAGATATTCTCATGATACTTGTCAAGTGCTTTTTCATTTTGAACAACCTTAGCTCTAAAATTTATGTTATTATTTACATTACCATTCTTTAGTTAAATATTAAGAAGCTTAAATCCATCACGCTTAGGCATCACGTTATTTGTTAGTAATTTAATTTGATTACCAGTTCAGTCTCACTAAGAGTGCATATGTTATAGTTTATCTACCATATGAAATTCTATAAATGTATAATGAGGAATGTAATAGACTGCCATTTATTAGAACAAAATTTATTAGAACAAAATGTTGGTAGAACAAAATGTTGGTTTTTTTTTTTTTGAAATTATTCAAGTTGTTTGTGATTCTTTTGAGTCCAGTACAAGCACAATTTCCTAATTTTTAGGGAAACGTTCTCCTTTTACTATGTGAGAACAGAGTTTTCTTTGGTGAACACTTCCCTCCATTTCTCTCTTTTTTTTTCTTTTCTCTAGATATTTTTTTACCGCCTTAATAAATTTCTTTATTTTCTTAAAAATTGAAACTGAAATTTTAATTGTTGTGGAAAAGTATAATTGTTTGCTTACTTTGCATGGCTGGAATTCTTGTTTATCTTCATATCTATTCTATCATTATATTATCATTTAGGTTCTAACTCTCATATTCTCTTGTTTGCATCTAAAAGGCTGGCATATTTAGTGGTCTCTTATATACTAAACTTAATTTCATTTGGTTGATCAATATTCGTTATATCATTATAGCTGTATAGAAAGCATAATCTATTTTGCATCGTGATGCACATTAGTCTTGATCGGACTGTCGCCATCACCTCTTCACTTTGCCAATTCTTTTTACCAGCGCGTGTTCTTTTTCTAACGTTTATATAAACTTATGTACAAATCTTTAAATGCAACCATTCGTCTTATGCATTATAAAGTCTAGGTCAACTATACAATTCCAATTTCCCTCTCTTAACAATCTATCTTAAAATATTAACAACCACCTTTTGACCTCATTTTCAGTGAGGTCTTAGTCTCCTACTTCTAGAACCCATGATCTAGCTTTAGGAGTTCCTTGTTGAGCATTCTAGCGGACTAGTATTGAAGCTCACCTCCCATAGAACTTCGAGCCACTTCTTGACTGATTTTTGTGCAGACCTCACATGAGTAGTCCCAAGCACTCAACTCTTAGTTGTAAGGGCTACAGACTAACATGTAGAGGGTCTGAAAATGAGTTACTACAGGATTAAACGACATTGGGTGAATCCCCCGTGACTCGGCAACGCAAACACTGCAATTCACGCATTCAACGCGCACAAACATAGCAATTAACATCACCGACACTTATACGCATTGCACTGACAATTAAACCAAGGCCAATTTCCAAAATGGTTTGTCATGAGCATAAGATTCGAATGAAAATTAATTTTTGCCATTTTTTGACCTGATCGTCGGTGAACTTGTCCGAATGATCACAGATGACAAAACAGACCACACGGATGCGTCTGAGAAGTCGACCTTAGCTAAGGACATCCATATCAATATGGCTCTGTGCGCGAGCAATTAACACGAAAATCGATGCATGTTTTTTTAAATTAGCGGGGTGCGGACCCGGGCTCAACCTAGATTCAATTCAGATT